TAATACGTAGAATAATACATATATATATATATATATATATATATATATATATATATAAAAAATCATAATAAATACACGGCTGGATCACAACATCATGCCGACTTTTTTTTTCCAATTATATTTCGTTCCGTTTCAATCCCAATCAAATATAATACCACACGTTGCTCTGATTCTTGGCTTCGATATATACGCGCCATGATCATCGTCACGTGCGGCCGTATTGTGTACCGTTCACTTTTAGATGGGCGCTGTGCCTAGCACGACCGGCTGGATTATCGGCCACGCAAGCATACTCCCCGGCGTGCTCTCCCCTGACTGCGGGTATCGTCAGAGCGGACACTCTATCCCCCAACGCGGTGATACCAACTCCGTCGCCTACTTCTAAATGGCGTCCCTCGAACAACCACTTGAGCGAAATCGGCGTGTCCCCCTTCACGACCGCGCAATGGACGATTATCAGATCGCCGGAGTTGGCCTCGTCGAATGAGAACGGCTGCAGATGCGGGGCGACTGCCGAGAGATAGAGACAGATCCACTTCTACAGTCAGCAAGTACATACACACGCGCTTCGCTTACTTCGCTTACGTTTTGGGGAGGAAAGAGGGGGGGGGGAGGAGGAGCGGCGGGTGGATACAAGTTTTTCGTTATTTCGAGATATTTGTACGTAACGAGTCTCGTTTTCGTTTCGGAAATGCGAAGAATAATCGAGGAAATACGAAAAGAAATGGGAGAGGATTTTCTTTCTTTTTTTTTTTCACGTATTTTCGTACGTATGTATATATATATATACCAAGCAAGTACGTGGCTACTGGATATAGTTTCGAGGAAGGAGAGGTTTTTCAGAAGAAAAAAAAAGAAAAGAAAAAGAAAAGTATAGGCGTATGTGAAGACGTATTCGAATCAACAAGATCTATGTTATCAAATGGTATATATATATATATATATAGATCGGCAGATTTTTTTCTTTTTAAGCACCGTTGACAATCAGATCGGCCGAGAGCTCGTGCCTTCCGGCAAGGTTTTCCGCGATACACGTGTACGTTCCAGCGTGTGTCGCCTGGACGGATCCTATGCTGAGTATGGCGCCCCGTCCGCCGAGATCCACGATCGAGATTCCAGAGTGGGGCGAGATCGCGTGACCGTTTAAGGTCCAGCGAAGCTTCAAGGGTTGATCGCCCTCGACCACGGCGCACGGTACCGTTACTACTTGACCCGAGTTAAGCGGTTTCTCGCCGAACGTGAACGGCAATAATTTCGGAATGACTGGAAACAGAAAAGAACTGAAAGAAGAAGAAGAAGAAGAAGAAGAAGAAGAAGAAGAGTTTTTCCATCGGCCTTGTTCGCGCAACCCTCCTATCCTACGGATCGATCGAGAAACCTCTTTCTTTCTTTCTTTCTTTCTTTCTTTCTTTCCTCCCCTCCCTTCTCTCGAATTTTCGCGAAAAAGGGGAGAAAAGGAAACCGAGAAAAGCAAGGGAAGGAAGATTTGCTTTAGGAAACGATCGAGAAATCTCTCTCTTTCTTTCCTCTCCCGAATTTTCGCGAGACGAAAAAGGGGAAAAAGGAAAAGGAAGGAAACAACGATAATAAAAGCTTTCTCTTTCTTCCCTCCCTTCCCTTTTCCTTCTCTCGAATCTTCGCGAGGCGAAAAACGGAGGCGGAAAAGGAAACGACGATGGACGGCGATAAGAAAAGCGGGGAAGGATCGGGGCGGGAAAGGTCTCGCGACGAAGAAGCCGCGTACCGTTTACGTCCAGTTTGGCCGAGTGCGAGGTCGATCCAGCCGCGTTCGAGGCGACGCAGGTGTACTCCCCGGCATGCCTCGCAGCCACCGACTCGATGGTCAGCTGTTTGACGCGTTTCCCGGAGTTGGACACGATCACGTCCATCCGATCGGGTCTGATAGGCTGGTTATCGAAGGTCCAAGCGATCTCGAGAGGGGAGTCGCCTTTGGTAACCACGCACTGTACCGAGACCAGGTCCCCGGCGTTCACCGGCTCGTCGCCAAACGAGATCGGCGCGATCTGCGGCGAGACTGCGAGAGACGAACAACACGCTCGCGTTCAGAGATCGACGAAGGACGAAGGACGAAGGAGGGAATGTGTCGATGAATAAATGCGAAAAAAAGGGGGATGGGGTCGACTTCGAGGTGGAAAGGCCTCGTGCGGTTTAATGCTCTCTAATGCTGTAACTTCGTAGTACCGTTCACCGATAATTCTGCCGAACGGCTGACGGATCCCACCAAGTTGCTCGCTACGCAAGTATATTCGCCTGCGTGATGCGCGGTGACGGAGTCGATGACTAGGAGGGAGTTCTTTTTCCCGGTTTTCGTGATAGTTATGTCCGGATGGCTAGCGCGAGTGATCGGTTCACCGTTCAGACTCCATCGTATCTCGATGGGAGGATCACCTTTCAAGACGCTACACACCGCCGAAATTTGTTCACCCCAATTGGCCGGTTCCTCGTTGATAGAAAATGGGGCGATCTGCGGAGCGACTAGAAACAACATCCGAAAAGCTATTTCAATCTATCGTTTCTCCGCGGTCTCGGTCCGTTACGTCGAATCCTTGTGCGTCGAGCAAACAGGACGAGGAGGAGGAGGAGGAGGAGAGAATGCAAACGGATGTATCGCAAGGCCGAGGGTACGTTTTCTGTACCGTTGACGGCCAAGGTGGCCGAATAGCTGGTCGCCCCTGCCGCGTTCGAGGCGGTACACGTGTATTCCCCGGCGTGGGCGCCGTTCACAGCCTCGATGGTCATCAGACTGACACGTTTCCCGGTGCTCGATATCGTGATATCGGGGCGATCGTTGGCAGTGATCGGCTCGCCGTTCAGGGCCCAGGCCAGCTCGATGGGCAGGTCCCCCTTCACGATGGTGCACACAGCCGAGACCGCTTCTCCCCAATTCGCGGGTTCGTCACCGATCGAGAACGGCGCGATCTGAGGCGCCACTGGAAAAAACTCTCGTTCGTTCGTTCGAGCGGATACGTGTCCCTCGTGTGTGGTACCCCGCGCGAGGACAGGATGATCGCGAAATGAACGAGAGAAGAGAGAGGGGGGGGGGGGGCGGCGGGTCTGAGAGAAGAGACGTGCTGCATGTACACGCGCGCATTTACCGTTCACGGCCAAGACGGCCGTGTGGCTCGAGGCTCCGGCCTTGTTCGACGCGGTGCAAGTGTATTCGCCGCGTGCCTTGCCGCCACGGCATCGATCGCCAACACGCTCAGCCGCTTGCTCTTCGTGATCGTGTACTGATCGCTTCTCTCGGAATCGATCGGCGTACCGTCCAACGCCCAGGATATGTCCATCGGGAAGTCTCCCTTCAGGATCGAGCAGGTGGCCGAGATCGCTTCGCCCGAGTTCACCGGCTCGTCGCCGAACGTGAACGGAAAGATCTGCGGTGCAACTTTGATGGAAAATAGTCGCGATAAAAAATATCCAAGATATAACCGATATACATATATATATATTCGTCCGTGTACGCGAAGGAGTCTTCCTCGAGTTGGAAGGAAAGGAGAAAGAAGGGAGAGAGAAGGGATGAAAAAGGGATAATCTTTCTTTTCTCTGTTTTTTTTTCTTTGAATCAGGCGATCATTACTTGTGTGCAAAACTCGTTTGACGTGCAAGCGTGCTCGCGTTCCTTCTTTTTTTTTTTTTTTTCGGATGGTTCATAGATACCGTTCACAGCCAACGTGGTCGAGTGGGTGACGTTTCCAGCTCTGTTCGTCGCTACGCACGTATACTCGCCCGCGTGTCTCGCTGCCACTGACTCGATGCTCAATGCGCTCATATGTTTATTGATCCTCGTGATAGTTACGTCCGGATCGTTGAAACCTATCGCCCTACCGTCAAACTTCCACACGATCTCTACCGGAAAGTCGCCTTTCATTATCGAACAGGTGGCCGAGACCATGTCGCCCGAGTTCGCCGGTCCGTCACTGATCGAGAACGGCCCTATATGCGGCGCAACTACACACACACACATATGGAAACTTGCTTTAGCACCAACGATCGATCGATTTTCTCCGTCGATTTTCGTTTCGACGCGTTCTCGAGAATTTCTTCGAGAGAGGATTGGAAGGGAGAGGAGGGAAGGCATTGCGCGCATGCGAAGAGAGAGAAGAGCGAGATCGGGAAGAAAATACGGGATCTGGTTGTTGTTGTTGTTGTACCGTTCACGGCGAGAGTTGCGGAATAACTGGTTCCACCGGCTGCGTTGCTGACAGAGCACGTGTATTCCCCCGCGTGTCTCGCTGTCACGCCGTCGATCGTCAACAGACTGACGCGCTTGCTGGTATTCACTATCGATATGTCGTAATGATTACGCGAGATCGGCTCGCCGTTCAAGGCCCACTCTATCTGGATCGGGTGATCCCCTTTCAGCACCGTGCACGTTGCGGTCACGGTGTCCCCCCAATTCGCTGGCCCCTCTCCGATATCGAATGGCACGATTTCCGGTGCAACTGTGGTCAGCATGATATATATACGTGTTTAAAAAAAAGAATCGTGACGAGGTTTCGCGACTCGAATAATCGACGTCCACCTTCCTGACAAAATAAAAAGAACGAAGGAAGGAAGAGGGAATGAATCGAATGGAACTCGATGATCTGACCTGGAGAGAAAGAGAGAGAGAGAGAGAGAGTATCGCGCATGCAGATGTCGCGGAGAGAGAGAGAGAGAAGAAGCAAAACTTGGATGGATGAAACAAGAGAAGAGAGCACGCGTATCGTGTATATACATATATATATATTGTACCGTTGACGGCCAAAGTCGCGGTAAAACTCGTCCCACCGGCGGCGTTGCTCGCCGTACAGGTGTATTCCCCGGCGTGACTGGCCGTCACAGCGTCTATAGTGAGCAGACTGACACGCCTGCTGGTCGCGATCGATATATCGGAATAATCGTGGGAGATCGGCTCGCCGTTCAGGGCCCACTCGATTTGAATCGGAGAATCGCCCTTCAGCATGGTGCAGGTTGCGGTGACCGTGTCTCCCCAGTTAGCCGGTTTCTCGCTGATCACGAACGGGGCTATCTCGGGCGCAACTAGGACGGAACAATCGATCGATCGCTCGTTAAAAAAAACTCGATTCGCTTCAACCGATTCCGAAAGGAGGAGAAATTCTCGACGACCACCGCCGACACCTGGCTGCCAAGGAGGGAAGGCAAAGAAGAAGGGGAGGGGGAGGGCAAAGAAAGGGGAAGGAGTGGGAGGAGGGGGGGGGAGAGGAAATAAATGTACCGTTTACGGCGAGGGTGGCCGAATGACTGGTGGCTCCAGCCTTGTTGGACGCCGAACACGTGTACTCCCCCGCGTGTCTCGCGGCGACCGACTCGATGCTGAGGATGCTATTCTTTTTCGTGGTCGCCAGAACGTTAATATCGGGACGATCGCGGCCGATCGGCTCCCCGTTCAACGCCCATGCGATCTCGATCGGTAAATCGCCTTTGAGGATGGCGCACACCACGGAAATCGAGTCGCCCCAATTGGCCGGCTCCTCGGTGATTACGAACGGAGCTATCTGCGGTGCGACTGTAACCCAACAACTTTTTCCCGAGTTTCTGTTTCCTCTCTCTCTCTCTCTCTCTNNTCTCTCTCTCTCTTCTCTCTCGT